TATTAAACTTAAAAGAGCCAAAATATAATGGAGAAACTCAACTCCCCAGGCCTCAGAGGAGGCTGTTTTCAAGCTCCGAGGCTGGGTTTGAGATGTTCTGACGTATATGTAGAGTTCAGGACACACACTAGCCCTGCAAGGCACCATCGGGAGGAAAACAGTGACAGATTTCTCCTTCCAGCACCAATCTGTTGTTGATAAGACTGAAAACAAAATTTTGCCTCCCTCAAAAATTAATAATTGTTCAACAAACCCTCTCCCAACACTCTAAGAACTGAGTCTTTCTTGTGCAAATCTAAGTTCTGATGAGCAAAATAGAGAACATTTCAGTCTAAAAGGATAATTTAAACAAACTTATCAACCCTCCCTCCCATGTATTAGATATAGAGAAACTGAGGCCCAAAGAGAAGAAAGGACCTGCCGGGATCAAAAAAACTATCATATGGAATTGGAGTTTCTAACTCCCAACTGCAGGACCCATTATGTTGATGGTTACAGAGGTCACTTTTATGATTCCTTTTTTTCTGGAGCACATGAGATTAAAAGAAAGCTACAAGGAAAGAAGGAAGAGAGGGAAGGAAAAGAGAATCAGGAGATCAGGTACCTCTAAGAAAAAAGTGCCAAGTATAAGTAGCTTTACAGAGGCTTTCAGCAAGAGAGCTCCCAGAAGATAGCAGCCTACAAAGCCTCTTGCCTTCTGTTCCATATTTTGCTCTCTGATTTCATCTCCTGCATGGACCCTTCCTCACCTTCTACTCTATTGACAGCTCCCAAAATAGACACTGCTACCTGGCTTTTGCACATGCTGATCCCTTGCAGTGTTCACCTAGATCATGACAATGGACCTTCATGTCTCAGCTCAGGCATCTCTGCCGCCCCTATGTGTCCCAAAGGACTCTGGACTTCAAACCCTTAGCGCTTCACACTGAAGTATAATGATATGTTTGCTTGTCTGTCCCACCACTAGACTAGGAGCCCCTAGAATGCAGGGTTGTGTCTTAATATCTTTGTTTCTCCAGTGTCTGCCACTTAAAAAAGTTTGCTTGGTTAATTGAGTGAGTGAATCCATGTCAAACACGAAGGAACACTTATTTCTGCAATGTTCTTGCTAAAGTCTTAGGGGTATCATCTTAAATCCTTCATACATAATGTAATGCTCATTACATTAAGAAGTTCTGTCTTCAGATAAGACTTCACCTAGATTATCCTATTAAATAAAATAGTATTTATAAGTTATGAATGAGTAGTATTCATACATTACAGAGATTGTTACTATGTACCTGTGATAGGAACGACTGAAAAATAAACATATAACGTCATTGGATGCTACAGGCCATGGTGGACTCTTAACTTTGCTCTCTCCTCCTCCCCTCCTCTTTCTCCCATTCCCAGTCCTTCCCTCATTTGAGTATTCTTCTCTTTCTCTCTCTTTATTTACTCTTGACTCTCTTATTCCCTGTTCTTCCCTTTTCCTCTCTTTCTCTCTCCTCTAATCAGTCTATCCTCTTTCCATCTCTCTCCATACTCACCATACGCAATCTGGAAACCAATACTGTAGCAGTAGCCAGTGGCCCAGGTACTGTACTTTGAATAGTCCTCCTGGGGGTTCTGGACTCTAGACTGAACTCTCAGAGGCATACTTGGGGCTGCCTGCTAGCTCTTCGTAAGAGGTACTTTTATAATTGATCTGTCATCTTACCCTCGATGCCCAGGAGGAGGTGGGCTAAGCAGGAAGAAGCTCTCCATAGCCCTGAGGAAGTATGAGGCTGCTTTTGGGCTCATAGCCACAGATTTCAGCATTTTTGAGAATCCTTTATGTAAATGATACACTTGTGAAGGCATAACATAGACTGCTAACCAATCATAATTGTACCATTATGTTTCCATGACACTGTAAACCTCTTTGCAGGTAGGGCCTCTCGCTCATTAATTTTTGAATGCTTAGCATGTGGCTTAAAGTAAATCATACTTAAAACGTGTGTTAACAAAAAAATGAATGAGAACATGAAGAGTTAACAGCTAGCATGAGCCATGAGTAAGCATCATGATTTAAATGCAACAGCAACACTTGGCCTGGCACTCGGGGTCTTGTATGACTACCAATGGTCCGCAGGTGTGCAGGCTGGGCTCGTGAAGCTATCCTGGGGAATTTTTTTTTTTTAGTTGTATGAGAAAAAGATTGGGTTTGATTATAATGTGTCTTTAGTTAAATAAGACAAAAAAAATGAAAGTTATCAGAAGACACAGCTAAAGAGTATGTTGTGTTCTTTTATTCTAAGATACATATTTTCTGATCCAGGGTTTTTCAGGTTTTAGCACTAACATGCTCTGGCATTCAGTGTTACAGAGCTCCACACGGCTGATTTTGATAGGTTTGCCAGAGCAGCTGAGTAGGGTCCATGGGCCTGTGTACTTGTTTCTTCAGGCTCTCACTATAATGAGAACTGAGATTTATCTCAGAAAAGAAAAAACACTGGCCAGGTGCAGTGGCTCATGCCTGTAATCCCAACACTTTTGGCGGCCCAGGCAAGTGGATCAGTTGAGATCAGGAATTCAAGAGCAGCCTGGCCAACATGGTGAAACCCATCTCTACGGAAAAAACATACAAAAATTAGTTGGGTGTGGTGGTATGCCCCTGTAATCCCAGCTACTTGCAAAGTTGAGGCAGAAGAATCACCTGAACCCAGGAGGTGGAGCTTGCAGTGAGCTGAGATTGTGCCACTGCACTCCAGCCTGTGCAACACAGGAAGACTCCATCTGAAAAAACCAACAAACAGGGCCAGGCACAGTGGCTCACACCTGTAAGCCCAGCACTTTGGGAGGCCAAGGTAGGTGAATCACTTGAGGTCACGAGTTTGAGACCAGCCTGGCTAACATGGCAAAACCCTGTCTCTACTAAAAATACAAAAATTAGGCAAGCGTGATGGTGCGTGTCTGTAGTTCCAGCTACTCCGGAGGCTGAGGTAGGAGAATCACTTAAACTGGGGAGGCAGAGGTTGCAGTGAGCCGAGATCGCACCACTGCACTCCAGCCTGGGCAGCAGAGTGAGACTCTGTCTCAAAACAACCAAACAAACAAAGAAAAGAGAAAACATCAAGACAAAAGAGGACTGCCCTCGCTTCCTGAGCCACACAGGCAGGTGCCTGGATCGTCTTCTGCCTCCCTGGGCTTGTCACTCTGGTTCTGGAGCTAAAATCACAGATTTGTATTGACTATAAGAAACTACCTCAGGCTTTCTAGGATATGAGAACATCCTCGCACAGCACTGATTGTCCATGACAGAGGAAGAACAGCCCTCGGGAAGTTGCTGGATAGGGGAGGGGGCAGCATGGCATTGGTCTGACATTTCAAGGTTCATGAGAATCATGTATAAAATCTGCAGCCAGGAGCTCCTGCCCCAAGCTCCTACTTTCTCGATGACTTGAACAGCAGGATACCAATTATGGGTTCTTTGCAAAACTCCTTAGACCACACTGCGTCTCTGTAGGCACTTACATTTTATTTGATGACGGTGACATTGATGCATAATGGTTTCCACCCCTGCAAATGATTACAGGCTCTATAGATGATATAGGAGAGAGATTTGCTGCAAAATTTAACAGTTTACACTAGAAAAGAAACGCGCTCACTCGTGTGCAGTTTGTACTTTCATGATCTCATACCTCATTCCTCTATTCTATTCTCTTTATTTTATTAAGTGATCAACATTTAGGGAAGGGCTCTCAGGAATTTTGCTGGAAAACTCCATTCATCCTCTTTTGATCTGGAATATAGAGACCAGAAAAAATATCTAAGAGTCACTGAACAGGTGGTACATACTATAGTCCTCACCACAGCTCAGAAAATTTAAGTAATGTTTCCAAGATTGCATAGCTGGAGGAGATTGATGGAGGCTCAGATTATAATATAAGCAATTTGTAACCATTGCACCAGAGTCCAGCAAAAAGGACGGTAGTTTATGCAGCAGGAAAAGCACTAGGAGCCAGATCTCCTGGATCCATTCTCAACTCTGCTTCTAATGACCTGAAGTAGCTAGGGGCACACCACTGCACTAATTTGCTCAGACTTCCATAATCAAGTACCACAGATGAATGACTTAAGCAACAGAAATTTATCTTCTCAGAGTTCTAGAGGCTGGAAGTCCAAGATCAAGGTGTTGACAGGACTGATTTCATTCTGAGGTCTCTCTCCTTGGCTTGGAGATGGCCACCTTCTCATTGTGCCTTCACATGGGCATCCCTCTGTGCATATCTGTGTCTACATTCTTCTTCTTATAAGGATGCCATGCATATTGGATTAGGGCCCCCCCTAATGACCTCATTTAACCTTAATTATCTCTTTAAAGGTAGTCTCCAAATACAGCCACATTCAGAGGTACTGGGGGTTAGGATTTCAATCCATGAATTGGTGGGAGGAGACATAATTCAGCCAGTAACAGGTTAAAATCATGGTGTCAGTGTGGCCGCATTGCCTTCTGGAAGCTATAGGGGAGGATCTGTTTCCTTGCCTCTTCCAGCATCTGGAGGCATTCTGCATTGCTTGTCTAGTGGCCCCGTTTCCATTTTCAAAGCATTGCACTTTAACCACTGCTTCCATCGTCCTTCCCTCACTCTAGCTCTATTCTCTCTTCCTTAAAAAGACCCTGTAATTTTAATGAGTCCACCTGAATAATCCAAAATGGTCAAATCCCTTTATCATATAAGGTAACATATTTACAAGTCCCAGGAATGCGGGGTCTGGGGTGGCGTACAATGCAGCCTGTAATAACCACTTTATGTTTCCAGGCCTTTGTTTGTAAATCTATAAAATATGAAATAGCTAGCCCTGGCAATCATGTAGGCCTCTTATAAGAATAAAATAGTATACTTACTATAAAAATGTTTGGGAATATCAGGGCCAACACAAATGTAAGGTACAACTAATCCCAAATGTTTATAGTTTTCATTTCTTACCCTCTGACTGTCCTATACCTTTTACAGATTAGAAACACAAGTATTTAGTAAATTAAATGCATATAATATTGTTTATTAATTCTCTGAACCCTCAAAACAATGTAACAGAAGTGATGCAAGTATTAAATAAAAGCTTGTTAATTTGGTTTATGTACCTTTTTCTAGCCAAGAACTTCATTTTTGTTCAACCAGTACTTCATTTTTATTTACCATAGTGTTTGCAAACAGGAGGTGCTCTCGTCCATGGAACTCCATTCTCTAGCAAGCTCACCACTTCTGAACGCATCGGAGAATCAGAAAAGAAATGCACACAGTCACGGAAGAACCACAATGTGGATCACAATTTTCATGCACTTAACCCACAGCATTATATTTAAGTGACCATTTGAGACTTATTTAATCTTATTTTATAATCTATGCTATTTTGCTTTTCTGTTGTCACATAACAAACTACCCCAAAACTAAGTGACCTAAAATAATTGCTTTCTTATATTGCATGATTTTTTAGGTCAGGAATCCTGGCAGAATGTGATTGACCAATTCTGTCCCCTATGCCACCAACTGGACTCCCTGGGCAGCATTCAGCTGGCAGCTGGCCTCTTTGCTGAGTCCAAGATGGCTTCATTCTCTAGCCTGGGACCATGGTGGGCTGGCTGATGGTCTGGGCTCAGCTGGGATCCTCCTATTCTACAGGAAGTCTCAAAGGCCCTCCTCATATCCCTCTAGCAGGTACGTGGGCTTCTTATCTGATGGGTTAGGGCTTCAGGAGAGCTACAAGGAGCAAAAACCATCACTAAAGCCTGTGCCTGGAAACTGACATGGCCAGGTCTGCTGTATTCTAATGGTCAAGACCATCACTGATGATGTCCAGATTTAATAGGTAGGGAAAGAAACCCATTTCTTAATGTGAAAAGCATCAAAGTATTTTCAGCTTTCTTTAATCTGCCACAAATGCTAACAAACTTGTGTTCCTTTTCCTCTACTCACATGAGATCAAAGGCAGATAGTCAGAAAGGAAAAGATACTGTCACAGGCAAACCTGTTCAATATTTTGATCGTTAGTCCTACTAGGCAAGTCAACTGCACAGAAAAAAAGACATGATTGGAATGATCATGGGAGAAGCAAGAAAACTACCAGAAGGTGACACAGCAGTTCCAAAGGGACAGCCACCTGAAGCTGGCATATGTAGGGTCAGCTAGCCAGAAGAAGGCTGGACAGCCCTTGAGGGCACAACAGCCACAGTAGAGAGTGATAAGAAGTGCTCAGCCACGCATCAATTTATTCAACTTAACATTTACTGAACATCTACTGTAAACAAAGCACCGAGCTGGTCATTATCGACATAAAGATCCTTGTCTTCCAAGGGCCTAGAGGCTCCCGGGGAGGAAAGATGTGGCAATTGTTAAATACAGCGTAAGATGATAATGCTAAGAATTACATTCTTAGTGATGACCTTGAGTTAGCAAAATTACATTGCTGTAACCCAAATTACTTGAGAAGGGCAAATAAATAAACAAAAATACAAGTCTTATATCTCGTTATCTTTGCAATAACTCCTTAAAATACATCCATCCAAGGGAACTTAATGGCTGAGTTCCCCTAATATTCTGAAAAACTCCAATATCAGAAATTACCCTTTTGCAATGCATATTACTATTTACCAGTGGATTTTCCTGTCCCATTCATTACCTAGTATTGATTGAGGGCCCATGATGTCCCTGGCACAGTGCTGGGAGCTGGTGTTACACATATGATACAGTCCCAATCCTGAGAGCTTCTCATCCTATTTGGAGAAAGAGACACAAGTCAACTCCTCACCCATTGCTTTGATGTCCATCTCATACCATTCAACGAATGAGAGCCCTCTGAGTGCCACGTGTCATTCTAGGCAGCAACAGACAAGACATACTGAGTTCCTTCCCTCTTGGAACTTATATTCCTGGGAAGGCTAATAATAAAGAAGTAGACAAGTTTATAAATAGCAGTATTTCAGAGAGCCATAAGTAGTGTGGAGGAGGAAAAGCAGGAGAAGAGGCCAAGGGGACAAGGGACAGAGAAGGTGAGCTAAGGGACCTATTCTAGATGAGATGGTAAGGGCAGGTCTATCTGTGGTAGTGACATTTGCACCATTTTTAAATTCCCTGGGTCAATAAAACTATTACATACTTAGCCTAAAGCTTGAAACACCCAACATACTTAACATTTCAATGTGTAACCATACACATCGTATGGTTACATGGAATGATCCCATGATCATTCCAGTCATGTCTTTTTTCTGTGCAGTTGACTTGCCTGGTAGGACTAATGATCAAAATACTGAGCAGTTTTGCCTGTGACAGTATCTTTTCCTCTCTATCTGCCTTTGATCCCATGTGAGTAGAGGAAAAGGAACACAAGGTTGCTAGCATTTGTGGCAGATTAAAGAAAGCTGAAAATTCTTTGATGCTTTTCACATACCACATACACACACCATAGCTTTCCTGATATAGTGGCACTCAGAATTGTCTCCTACTAGTAGAGTGAGTGCATTATGAAGTCAGAGACCATGGCTAATCAGCCAATAAATCATAAACAGTTGGTGAAGTGTTGCACTCACCCCTCCAGCCCCGAGAAATGTTCTAACTCTGGGGCCCGAGAGTGCCTTAAAATTACAAGAAAGGAAGAGTTGGGAATAGGTGCCCCAAATCTTTTTATCTAAGATTTTGCTTGAACATGTAGAGAATGTGGCAGGGAGAGAACCCACATTGAGAGAAATTTGATTGTCCTCCTAATCTGGTCACTGTTTTATTTATTTGCTAGTTTTGAGGTAGGAAGTGTTAATGAAACAGGAGCACCTATGCAATTCCAAGGCTGATTCATATACTTGTATAAGGAATTAACTCCTCAGAAACAATTCAGGACTTAACCTGGGGTGATTTGGTATGAACTGGCTTAATCTGTTTGGTTCATATACTTAAATAGCAAAGAATTGTCTGCACTTAGGAGAGAGGGGACAAGGGTTAGAATTTTGTCCATGAGAAGAAAGTCAGAGCTTTATTCTCAATCACAGAGCAGCCAAGAGAAATAGCCAAACATATGCTGACCATGTACTATGCAGTAGTTTGTATTGGCTAATTTATAAGTATAGTTTCATTACATTTTTTGAGAACCTGAAAGACAGTTTTCATATCCAAGAGGCAATGTAATTTGTTCAATATCACACAGCTAGTGGGTGCTAACCTAGACTTGAGTTTAAGGCTGTTTGACTAGAATATGGGTGTTTTGTTTATTTGTTTCCATTTTACCAGCAGCAAAAGCTGTTTAGTGAATACACAGCTTGACTGCACTTCTGTATTAGTCTGCTTTCACGCTGCTGATAAAGACATACCTGAAACTCAGCAATTTACAAATAAAGAGGTTAATGTAACGGACTTACAGTTCCATGCAGCTGGGGAGGCCTCACAATCATGGCAGAAGGCAAGGAGGAGCAAGTCACATCTTACATAGATGGCAGCAGGCAAAGAAGGAAAAGAACTTGTGCAGGGAAACTCCCCTTTTTAAAACCATCCAATCTCCTGAGACTTATTTACTATCACGAGAACAGCATGGAGAAACCTGCCCCCGTGATTCAATTACCTCCCACTGTGGTCTCTCCCACAACACATGGGAATTCAGAATGAGATTGGGTGGGGACACAGCGAAACCACATCAATTTCTTTGAAAATTAGTTATCTGTGACTGTCCAGTTAGCTTTTGCTGCATAAAATACCACTCCAAAACTAAGAAGCTTAAACATGAATGTTCTGTTCATCTCATAGTTTCGTGCATCAGTTGGTTCTCAAGACCTGAGCCAGTTCAACTGATGTTCACACCAGGCATTGTCATGTGCCTGGCTCAGCTGGCAGGTTGGGGCCTCTCAGTCCTCTGTTTCACCACCCAGCATCTATCAGTGTGGCTCAGGTCATTCCCATGGTGGTCTGAGAGATCTGAGTGAAGAGGGAGAGGGGAATCCTCTATGAGTCAGCCATGCAGAGATGCCTGTGTCATAGACACTATCATCCCACAGGCCATGACAAGCCACACAGCCAAACTCAGTGTCAGTGTGGGGAAAGTCAGCCAAGAGCATGGATGCTAGGGAGAAATTACCATGGCCATTTTTTTCATGCAATCTAGCACACTGCTTTTGGCCAACTGTGTTCGTTTATTCATTTACTCAGCCAACTTTAGGAAGTGCCTCTGTGGCCACACTTATTCTGGACAGAAGCAGACTTTGGTCTATAGTTTCCAACCTAGCAGGAAAGACAAGCGCATGAAAATACGGGTCATGAATCATTGAGTATCATGTGAAGGGGGTGCCCTAGTCAGCTGGGGCTGCGAAAACAAACTACCTCAGACTCAGATGCTGTAAACAACAGAAATGTATTGTTCACAGTTCTGGAGGCTGAGAAGTCCAACATCTAGACAAAGGTAGATTCTGTGTCTACTATGGGCCTGCTTTCTGATCCATAGATGGCATCTTTTTACTGTGTCCTCACAGGGTGGAAGGGTTGAAAGGGTTGAGGCCCTTGGGCCTCATTTATAAGGATGCTAATCCCATTCACAAGGGCTCTATCCTTACAACCAAATCATCCCTCAAAACTTCCACCTCCTAATAACACCACTTCGAGGATAGAATGTGAAGATGTGAATTTGTGGGGAGACATAGAGATTCAGTTCATAGCAAGGGGTAAATAAATTACTCAGGTAGTCTAGAGAGCCAAGAAGTTCCAGCAGGAGAAGCTCATGAAGGAGGTGACATTTATCTGGACCATGAAGAATGGGTAGATGTCTGAGAGAAGGAGTGATATCAGTAGGCTACCTTCCAGTTCCTTGGCTGAAAGCGGGCACCCAGTTCTTAACTTTCCCGTAGATTCAATGGCTTTATAAATTTGTACTGTCCTGTTCAATAACCCTGCAAGTTTCTAGAGCCCTCTTCTTTTAGAATTGTTAAGTTTCTTGTTTCACTTTCCAGCTACATTATCTTGGCACCTGGGATGTTTTCCAGGCATTAAGTTGGTGGAAATGGAGGAGGGAGGAGGAGTACAATCTTTTAAGAAAATTGTTGGTCCCTGAGTTTCTAACTGTAACTCAGGTCCAGGAAGACCATTTCAAAAAAAAGGACACACCAGAGCAAGGTGAGCCAGAATAGTGTTGATTTCAAGGAGGAAGAGATAAAAATCAAGAGAAAGGGGATACTCAGGAGATACTGGAGTCAAGGAACAGCAAGAGTCAAAACTGACTCTGAGATTTCTCACTGGAAATAGGACACAGGGGGAGCCATTGACAAGGCAGGAGGGTGAGGCAATAAGCCTGGTTTGTGATGTGCTGAGTTTGATGTCTTTGTGTCACATACAGAGGAGCTATCTAGTCTGCTGTTGGACATTTACATCTGGACGGTGGGGGAAGGTTGGAGACTGGACCAAGAATCTTCAGCAAGGCAGATGGGTGGGGAAACCATGGGTCCATGTGAGATAACCAAGAAAGGAAGGATTTACCAAAGAAAGAAGAGAGAAAATAAGGGATCTTCTAAGTGGCAGAAGAGAGAGAAAAGGGACAGGGGGAGGGAAGCACTAAATATAGTAGCTAATGGCATCATCATCACACACCTGTCTAAAACCAGCCATGATGGCACATCAAAAGCTTCAGGGTTGGAACATCATGAGTAGAGAAACTATGTTAACTGTGATTGAGTAAGATTCACTAAGTTTTTAAGAGTATGTTCTCTTCTGGCTTGAGTGGCAGCGTGGTGCAATGATTAAGAACACTGACTTTGAAATCAAAACTGAGAATTCAAAACTTAGCAGTTCTGCTGTGACCTCAGGCAAGTCTCTGAGACCTTCTTTATTTTCTTGGTAAAGTGGGGATGGCTCCTACCTTGAAGGGTTATCCTGAGGGTTACTGGTGTTAATGTAAGTTAATCCTGAGACCTGCATCTGACACAGAATAAGTGTTGTGAAAGTGTTAGATATTTATATTTATGGATATACACCCAGATGGAAAGAAAATGATTGGAACATGGTGCCACCTCATGCACAGTTTGGATAAAAATGGCCAGGATTGTTGACTATACAATTGATGTTCCAATCAAGAAGTTTGAACAGAAAGGGACTCGGGGATTCATGGCACGTGCTGGCTGAGTGAGGTGGAGGGTCACAGTAATATAGGGAGAGATCTATGTGGTGCAAATAAGGTGACGTACATGGAGTGTGCAGGCTGGAGAACTGGCATCTCTCAGGTTGAAGTCACATGCCAAGTGCAGCTAGGTTTGTAGCATTTACTAAGCATTGGCTGAGGTGGCAAAGAAATTAGTCACACGGACAATGGAGCCCCTGCAGTGCAAATAGCACATGACTTGATGCTAAACAAGAAAGAAACAGAGATAATGGATTTGAAGATACTCTGCGTTGACTGTGTTCATCTGCTTCTAGACACCCTGGAGGGCTGACTACCTCTGCCTTTTTCATGCGGGGAAACTCTGTGAACACTCCCCAGAATTCTGTAACAACTATGTTGCAGGGGGTGTATGGAAATGTAGTCCCTAATGAAAGCTGGAACTGACATGCAATATCAGTAAGTGCTGCTGAGCACTACTCTTTGAGACTTTATCACACACACACATGCGTCTTATAATTATCTCTCTCTCCCTTTTAATTTGTGCATCTGATTCTGCATTGCCAGTCGGATAGAGTCCCCCACTTAGTATGGCATTCGAGGCTTTCTATGATTCAGACCCACTCTCCTTTCAGTCCCCAACTCCTGTGATTTCCTCAGCTCTGTCCGCAGCTACATAGACGCCAACTCCTTTCTTGAGCATATCACAAATGCTTACACTTAGCT